TATTATTGTTGGTCACACAGTCAACCAGATTTTTAGACTGGATTTGGCATTTCCATCCACCTATCAAGTCCTTCCCAAGGACCTGGGATAGGCAGATGTTGTTGTTTGATGGTGTTAAAGGTATCGTCACAGAATGTTCCAAGTAAAGCTGCCTTTTGCAATTGACTGGTGGTGATTTTGTCAATGCCGATGGTGTTCAATTGGTGCTCCAGATATTTTGGGATTGCACTCAAGGCACCTATAACAAGGTACATTCTTTGCTTTATTTTGCCATTGTCATTCTACTTCTATTTGCAGGTCTTTATATTTTGTGATTTTCTCCAGTTCTTTCTCTTCTATTGTGTTGTCTCCAAGTATTGCAATGTCCACTATCCAGACTTTTTTGTCTCCCCGTCCCCCTCCCCCTTCTCTTCTTCTTCCTCCTCCTCCTCCTCCTCCTCCTGTCACTATTGTTACTATTGTTACTATTATTATTTAAGTTTGTATGCCACCCAACTACCAACAACTCAGTTTACAAATTTAATAAATAAATAAGAAATTACAGGGTGCTACAGAAATATGTGGAATTATGCAAATACAAAGTATGAAGAACAATGCTTAGTACAATGAAAAAGTGAAAAGACTTGGATAAGAAAAAATGTGTATAAGAAAATGGTTGCTGCAAAAATGAGAATGAGTAAAAATATATAAACAGAATGTGTATTTAGAGGAAAAGAGAACTGCAAAGAATGTAGTTACAGAAAGCAAGGAGTGGTTAAGATTAAAAGGGCTGAAAAAATGTAGCAGAATTTTGATGCCAATAAGCAATTCCTTTGGAAGTAGGTGAAAACAGCTAAACAAGGAACAAATGAATAAAAATAATGGAATTATTTGGGATGATACTGAAGTGAGGGAATTATAGTGACTGTCAAACAGTAGAACAGAAACAAATGCAATGTTAGTATTTAAGAGAAAATGTTCAAGAAGAGGAAGTCATAAATGTTGTAAGGATGCTGAAAATGTGTATAGTTATAGGTGCAGATGGTCTAATTGGAGAAATATTAACATATGGTAGTAGTTTGTTTATGGAGTAGCTATGTGGCTTGTTTAAAGACAGCATTTAGAGAAAGGGAAAAGTAACAAGAATGAATGCAACAACTACAAAGGGGTTAGGTAATTAAGTATGACTGGAAGGTGTCCAGCAAAATTCTAATTGATAGAAGAGGAGAAGAGATCTGATTTTTGATCTTCAGCAGGTCATTAGGAACTGTAGGAATGCAAGACAATTCTTTATATGTTTGTTGATTTAAAGAAACTGTATAATAAAGTGAGTACCCTTGAATTGTGGAAAGTAAGAGACAAATGTGGAATTGAAGGCCTGTTGCTAGATAAGAGTGTTATACGATGTAAAGAAAGCTTAAGTGAAACACTTAGGAAAAGGATAACCATGAACGAGGACTAAGAAAAGGATGTGTGATGTCTCCTTGGTTAACTTTTTGATGGATAAATGGAGAAGGCATGTTTTTAGTGATTGAATGTGCTATCAAGTTCCTGTTGACTCTTAGTGACAAAGTAGACAGATTTTTGCCATGACAATCTGTCCTTAACCTGGTCTTTCAGGTCTTCTAATGGTGCATTCATCACCACTGTAACTGAGTCTATCCACCTTGCTGTTGGTTATCCTTTTCTTCCCTTTCTTTCCACCTTTTCCAGCATTAGAGCAATGTCACAACTATATTAGTGGGGATGTCAATATGCAAGTACTTTTCTATGCAGATAATGCCATGTTGTTAGCTAAGGGCTTGAATGATTTGCTGGAACTGGATGTAACAAAGAGTATGGATCTAAAATTTAATGTATCAAAGATCAAGTTTGATACAGAAAACTGAGTGAACAATCACAAGTTATTCATAAATGGTGAAAAATTAGAGTAAGTAAATGAATTTGCATACTTTAGTATAATGCTTACTAAGGGTGGGAGAATGGAGAAATTTTAATGTATGTTAAACACTGAGAAAAAATAGTGGTTAATGTATGATCTCTTGCAGAAAGTGAATGGTTGTCAAAATAAGCAAAAATGAGTGCACCCCCTGTGTTACGTAAGAGTTGGATATGACAGGAGAAACATAAAAGTAAATCGACTGCAATGGGCATGGGGTAATTAAGAAACATATGTGATAAAGCAAGATGAGATAGGGTAAAGAATGATTGGGTGCTAAATGAATACAAAAATGAGTGACCAGCATGAAAGAACTACATTGATGTGTCTTGAACATATAGAAAGAATGAATGAGGACTGAATCACAAAACAAACATATGAAGAGTCAGTGGACTCACAGAAAGTGGAAGACTGAAAAAGTCCTCTTGAATTGAACTGAGACCTTCAAAAAGGCAGATGTGAGAACATTAAATGGCACAAGATAGTAGTAAGATAGAGATGTGGTGGAACCAAGAATGGTTTGCAAGGATAGAAAGCTACAAAGAGATACAGTGAATGGTGAAACTAGAGTTAGCTACTTTAGTTTCCTTTTCTTAACTCTTAATTTCTTTGTCTTCTTATTTCTCAATCCATGTCTGTGTGGTGTTGTATAGTATGGCGCACAGTGTTACTTACCCAAAAGGGATCAGTGTGATTGGTATATATTACGTTATTTACGTTTGCTTTTGGTGAATTCTAATAAAAGATCTGTTCATTACTTTTTTCACCAGTATTCTGATAATAGTAAGAACCTTTTTAAATACTTCAACAGAACTGAAACTACTCAAAAGTATACGTTTCTGGTCCAACCTTACTTAATGTAAGCAACGAACCTCTAGTTTATCCACTTTTGTATAGACATTGTTCATTTCTGAAACTTTGGCCTTAATAAGTGGAATCATCTCTTCCAAGAGCTTGGATGTATCACTCCTAATCTGCACAGACAAGAAAAAATATGTATCAGAAAGCACTGTCAATAAATACAAAAACATATTTCATTCAATATACTGTATAAAAATACATGCAATATCATTTTATGTATGAAATAGTGCCAAACATTTTCCTTCAGAAAATTCAATATAGATGAATACATCAGTAGACTCCTTTCTAGGATCTGTTCAGGCTACAGCTATCCTCAATTATGCTATAGTGGCAGCTGTTCCCTTACCAACTACTAGGTCTACATACTATGTAAGCCACAAAATGTGTCATACTTTAGCTTAAGGCTGCAAGAATATATACATTTCTTCCTCCACTGCTGATCCCTATCATGCCTATCATCTGCTTTGATTCACTGCCAGTGGTGCTGTTCTGCTTTTCCATGTGCAGCATGTTAGGAGAAGAACAATTCTTTGATATCTGTTCTGGCTTTGCTATACTCCCTCTTCTGCCTATCGCCAATTAGCTGACAACGCATCCTCCAACTGCAGAATTGGAGCGGGAATGGGGTGGGTCTGGCTCCAGGATTCTGGCTACATTTCCTGCGCTAGGCTCCTTCCTGTGCTCTTCCTCTGCACCCCATACTGTTGTCATCCTAGCTGAATAAAGCTAAAAAACATATTGAAATCACAAAGGATGCTCAGAAGCAATGCTTCTACTTAAGACTTTTCTTCCTTTTCTCTGCTTTTTCAGGGCAACACATGTCAACTTCCAGATTGCTCTATTCTTGGGAGTGAGTGGCAGGAAGAGTTGTACCCATCATTCCACTGTTTTGCTTTTTCAGCCTTGCATTAAAATCAGCAATAGCCAAAGAGTTAGGATACCTACAGCACTGTCAGTTGAGAAACATAGTGTTATAGTACTGTATTGCATAATTCTGAGAGACTGCTGGCACAGCACGGCTGGCTCCAATTCTTTAGGAGACAACAGCAGAATGGCAGCAAACAAGGCTTGACAGGCACTCAAGGGAGAGGACATGCCCATACCAGGCTGAAAAGGTCAATAGGTACTACTCTGTTCTTGTCCATTACTGATTACCTGACAAAGCCTTTGATGTAACAGTTAGTGAAGAGTAACAGATTTTACACACCTTGAAGCTGCTGTTGGATGCTCAGGTTAAGAGGAAAAATACTACTTTAACACCAGTATAGCTAAGGATAACTTAAGACGTCTTACGTACAAGATGGAAACAAGTTGGAGGCAATGTCATGATGACATGGCAGAACTGAAAAACTGAAAACCTTTATTATGGTCATTAACCAGCACAAGACATGGCAGAAAAAAGATGTTGTCGGGACATGCTTCCATAGTGGTTAAGTGCACTTTATCTGAGAAGCAGATAACTCAAAAAGTAGGTAACTTCAAAACTCCAATGAAAAATTTGCAGAATAATGTTTTTAAGCCAACAAAAGTACAACTGGAGAAAGCTATCATTTCTATTTTGTATCCAGCCTAACTTGTATCTTGGCATCATTGCCAACGCAGAAACATAATCCATTAAAATGTATATGATAACAAACTCTGATATTTTGCTGTATTTGCTGCAACAGAAAAATACAATTAGCTAGGTGGGGTTACAAATTGACCCTCAAAATGTCTAAAGACAAGACAGTGAAGTTTGCTTGTTGATGATGAACATAATAGCAAAAAGAAATTAAAAATGCTACTGGAAGAAAAGTGAAGGAATATATTCCTCACCTGTAAACCATGAAAGGAAACACTACACTACTACAGGAGCAGCCATTCTCTGACGATAAAAACAAGTAATTGGTACAAGAGAGAGATGCCCATTTTTTGGCCGGAGAACAGCAAAACAGAGAACAAAGAACGGTTGATATATTTTGGAAACATACCATCAGAAACTCTAAAGTAGAACCAGCACATAATAACAAACAAACAAATAATTGGCATTTGCGAATAGGAGAATCAATAGAATCAATAGAAAAGGCTGATTGTTGTAAACATGGTAAGCAAGGTAAACAAAAGAAAAGTTTTACCTTGATGCATGTAACTTTCTTCGTGCCTGAACAAAGATTTGAAAGGGCCTGAAGATACAGTTTAAGAACTGTTGTCCCTCCAATTCATAGTCTACATTGGGGTTTCTCAACCTTATCAACTTTAAGATGTGTGGACTTCAACCCCCAGAATTTCCCACCCAAGCCAGGCT